TGTGTTTACACAGCAGCTTAAATACCCCCGACAGTGCGATTGCAGTCGCGCTACGGTCAGTGAAGCACGAGATGACACTTTGAACGTTTACCCACGAGTACACCAACAATGACGTCCTTTATGTGACACTTGCAGTTTGAGGCTCATTCTGGAAATGATTCAACAAAATAAGTGGAAGACTGATCAGTGGCGATCGATGATGGTGATGATAGGTCATAACATAAAAAAGATAAATAAGTGATAGGTGATGATTTCCTTAGGAATACGCCATGCTTTTAACATCTTTTCGGACTTGCAAAGGCACTTACTTGATATGCAACCCATATGTATGACCAACCAAGGACGGAGAAATGCGAGGAGATGAGCTATCGTTCCTCACCTAACGAAGCCCTCTTCATACTGTACTTCAAGAGAAGGAAGAAAATTTGTGGGACATCACAAACGGGATCGAATAGCACCGTTTGCTTCACTCTAGTAAGAGCTGCGCCGAAAAAGGGATTGGGAAAAAAGAATTGATCCCCTTTCACTTACGATTCTAAACTCCATATACATATGTAATAAGACATAATAAAGCGGCGTACTAATTAACCCTTTTAGAATGCGCCACGCATTTTACTTCCAGTCATAGCAGTAGTTGAGTTTGTATGCGATTTACCCCTCACAATGACTACGTGAGACAATCGACGTACAAGGAAATCCTTTTGTTCATTGTATAGCATATGGAGGAAAAATTTTAATCCCACCAAATCAGTCCTAAAGAGGAGAAGAATATCTAGCTGTGGCAAGAAACACTCCATGATCTGACTACCTTCTGACCGTGCGGTGGTGAGAGGCGCCACTTTCCACTACACCACTCACATTTCTTACAACAAATCGTCATACATCTAAGAAAGCAAGTGAACTCCTCCTTTTTCTACTTTTCCTCTTGGAAGGATCCAACGCGTAAGCAGTACGATTTTCTCATCTTATGAATAATCCTGATCGGCGACCACTTTGACGACCACTCTAGGATTACTGTGTTTTCCAAATTATGGGAGATACCTATAATCAGGGTCAATCGTCACATTCGCACTTTTTTAAAAGTTCTGCTCCCCCTTCCTGAAATCACAGGTGTGACCACCTCCTTCGAATAGTGCGAACGGACGGTCGACCCTGCCTACAAGGCAACCGGAACAGGGTATGTGTCTTCTTCTAGGCTAGGGTTTGACGATGGATAGGTATATAGCTCCAACCAATAGTTCATTTTACTTATCGTTACTTCGGCAGCGCCATCTGTCAAATAATAGCTCTGATAGACAATAAAGCGCCACCCATCGACACCTAGAAAATGAAATTACAAGTCGCTTTGCACAAAACTGGTCGCTGCATGATCGTTCCCTTACCCTGGTCGTACTAGCGCTTCAAAATTCATTCGCCTGGAGCAAGTAAATATAACGGCAGCGAGTTGGATACGCCATGTATTCACCTATACAGAATTGCTTTGCTATGAAGTCATGATAGTGAGCCACAACCTACTCCTTAAACTAGCCCTAAGCCTTATGGTTAGCGTAACAGAACCTGGAAAACTAGCCATAACCCTTATGGTGGTTCGTACAGAACCTGGACTTCTTGAATATATAATAACGCTACCTCCCTAGCAGTATCATTCTGAATATAATTATCTTTTGGCTTTTTCAGGCAGGAATTCTCGCCCCGCGCTATCCATAACGCGCTATTCGGTTCGTTAATAGCTGGATGTGGCGTCGATTATCCTGTTGGTAGCACCACTGTGTGTGGTTCGTGAGCATATAATTCGACACATGTTGGTACGGCTAAATGCCGTATTCGATGTGCATCTGATGAGCAAAGGTGGTGATTTGGCGCTGAGCATTGGTGTCAGCTCGGCCACGAATCCATCCGCTGCCGCCACCAGCGCCACCGCCGCCTGGCGCGGTTGTGGCCTGCCGAGGGTTTTTCCCAGGCAATAAATGCTGACTGCGTATACCTCATTGAACACATCAACACGTCGCATATACACCTTGTGTGTGTGCCTGCCTGCCTCGTTCATCTCGCCTGGCCTGGCGGCCTGTTAAATCTGAGGCGTCGTTCACGACCATCATTACACGAATTATCCGCTATTCACGGCGCCTTACTCTTCTCCATGGCGACAATTGCCGTCCGCACCGGAAAATTAGATACGGTACATTTCGCATGAGACAGTCGTTCCAAGGCGTTTAGTCTGAAATTTGATAATTGGCTAGAATTGCGACAGAAGAAGTGGAACACGGTAGGCAATCATGAATGCGTCGAGAATTTCAAAAAACTGCAGGAGGAATGAAGAACGCTCGGTGATCTGTGAACGCCCTATGACCTTCTCCAATGCACATGGATAGAAATTGGCGATGAGAAAATTCTATTATGGCCCTGTTTCAATGTTGCGGTGCTAGGGGGGTTAGCCGGTAGAAAAACTGCTGAAAGTGCGGATTCCATTCCCGCCTAGAGGGTTGTTGTGTCCGTAGCCTTGCATCCTCGTTGGCAATCTATAATAGACCTTTTTTCATTTCTAACTACCTTAGAATTAGAACAAGAAACAAACTTGCTAGAAAAATCTCTTTCAGCTTTTTTACAAATATCATTAGTTCTTTTGGTTTTTCTTTTCAACCATCAATCATTCTATTCAACTAAACCATCTTATGCAGCACACACAATGAGTCGCAAAGATACAAATCAATAAAATAAATAAAAAATAAGCTTATGTATCTAACGAGACTTATCAGTGTATACCTCATCACTGCCAGTGCGAATCGTTCGAAAACCTATTCCGAAACACACACCCTCCCCTAAACCCTGGTTTCGGCGACACACAAGTGAATTGTATCCTTGGGTTTTTAGCAGAAGTGGTGTAGTGGACGAATACAGCTTACGAGCCGGTTCGCTGATCAAAACCTAGAGTGTTTCGCTGTGCAAGCTAAAACAACAATCCTAATTAATAAGGATTGTTTATTGTCCTGAAAAAGAAAACCTCGCAACTCGCACATCTGTTGGATATACGTCAATTGTGCAATCCAAATCACAATCATGGTGCCACTGTGGAAGCGGAATGCCTCGCGCATCCCAACAACCTGGTTGGTCAATGCCAAGCTTCACCTTGTTTAACTAAAGTATGCGCAGCGCCGTCGAGAAACCTCACCCATGTTGACCCAAATTTGTAACAACAAGCCTCAACATCACACAATCCAAAGCACAGTGAAATGATAGGAATTTAGAATTCCGAAATGTCACACGAAATTAGTGCTTTTCATGAAAATCATAGAGAATCACACTCGGAAACATTAGGAAATAAAACACAAAAATCCTTACAAAACGCACTGCATCATTTTTCAATTTTTGCAGAATATTAGCATGAAGTGAAAAAATCACATCAAATCTCCAAAGTTCCCATTTACGACATTTGTAGGGTCCTCCGGATTTTTTTCGACAGGCCAGTCCCATTGAATGGCATGGCTACTACTGATATATGGTTCCGAAAGCTTGAAGGAAATACCCATTGTTGGTAAACTCTACTAGAGCAACTACTTTGACTTCTTAGATTTTCGTTTTTTTTTCTGGACCCAGTGTTCGACTCATAACAAATAACCATCCTATCTATACGGCATGCTGTGAAAGCGAACTATTCGTAGTCGGTATTTTGCCTTCCTTAAAGAATCTAAGAGGTATAACGTAACCTAAATAGGCGCGAAATGATGCGCCCCTAGCTAGTATAGACGCGAAGGTTCGTACGGTTAGTCCTAGTGGCCCTCCCACCGATTGCCCCTCGGAAAAGCAATGCGCCTTGTGCTCCCTTTCCCTCCAAACAGGATTACCGTCATTCACAAGAAGAATGACACCAAAATAACCCTTCAAGTAAACGAGGCCCAAGATGGTATGCAAAAATCTCAATGGAATTCACAAAGCTGACTAGCTCTACATGTGAAAGAAGCAAAACAGTCATCTGCCGTCGCTTTCCCTACTTCTACATAGTTGCGAAAAGTTCCTTGTCGACGGAGTCGATCCAACCGAATGGCACGGTTTGGCTGAAGAAATGTTGATCTTGTCATTGAAAGATTCGGCAACACACGACACCTATCACCAGGATTATTCTGGTAAAAGCTGATCAGTATAAAACAGATGCACTACTAATACGAAAATTTGAGGCATATAGGGTGGCGAAAAACTACGTAAACTACGTAAAAAACTAAAACTACGCCATAAAAAACGTCCTAACTTCATTTTTGGTCCATAAAAATTCGAAGGAAATTAATTTTATAAAACAGCAAACTCTAACATTCAATAATTATAAAAAAGTATCGAAGTGGCCGCTGTCAGTTTTGATATAGATCTGAATTAGTTTCGACATCGAGTCGATGGTGCGGCGAAGCTGGAGAGTCCTCTGGTTTGACGAAAAATTCTCCCATTTAAGCAGCTAAAAACTCCTAAATCACCTTCAACTTTTTTGCTCAGCTCTTGGGAACATTTGTAATTGGAAAATACCTGCAAGGAAAATACCGCTGAAAGTTTGATGATTTGGAGCAGTATCAGTGCTTGGGCAACCCTCCATTGATTTTTATCGATAAAATCATGGAAATCAATGCGAAGATATATCATGAAGAGGTCTTCAAGAAAGCTCTGGTGCTCCAAAGCAGAGTCACAACAATCTTGTTTTTTTTGTCCATAAACAAATGAAGTCAGGATATTTTTTGTGGCGCACGTAATTTTTCGCCACCCTGTAATCAAAAAACTGTCTCATTTTTGAATAGATGAGAGGAAAGAGTGGCGAATATAGACTACGCTAACCAGGCCTTCCACTTCCCGGAATGGATAAGTTGTCCCAGAATAGTTTTACAAGGAGGAACATCGAATTTTTCATTCACTGGTCCCTTTAGTCCTAAGACATCGTTGCACAAGTTGGAGCAAATCCAAACAGTGGTTCGGCTTTTACAAAGGTTAGCGGGTTACGACATCGTTCATGGCTTATTCTCCCTTAGTTTTTCTTTCTTGTAATCTGAAATGTTGCTTGGACGAATTGTTTCAAAAGATGCTTCGATTTGCAGGCTCCGAAGAAGGCGAGTGCGCCGAAACGTTAGCCGGATAAATCGTATATCAATCTCGGAAGCTTGAACAGAAGCAATTAACAACTGTACATACAATCATACCGAGTCGTACATGGAACAAATCCAAACAGCTGTGCAGTTCTGAATGGATGAAGAAGATGTGGCGCACTCCAAGAAAGGATTGATCCGCGCCTGAATATTTTTGCGTTTATCTTCGAAAGCATACAACTTAGATGAGCCATCTGTACAAAGCATAATCACAGCGTTCAAGGCTAAGCCATACCGTATCAATTATACCTACAGGGGGGGGCCAAAAAAAAAGAGTCACTTTGCCTATGGCGCATATCATCAAACTTTTCGTCGCAAAGGATGCCGCTGTTATTGGGAGTTATACGGCAAATATTCCTTAGATGTCCCCCCATAAGCAGAATCAGGCCCACCTTCGCTGCGCTCACCGTCTCCAGAATATGACGTCATC